GAGAAGCTGCATTTGTTACTTCTAGCTTTACTATCAATGCTAATACTTTTCCAGGAATGCTCTCCACAATCCTTGTAAGACTAATCATCCCGTATATCTCACACATCCTATTCAGTATTGTATCTTAGGGTATTCTCCAGACCTGCGGTGGTATAGGCTTCTCACTAGGGCCATTTTTGGGAGGCATACTGTATGATCTGGGAGGATTTCGGCTCCCATTCTTTTCTCTAGGAATGGCTATGTTCTTGATGGCATTACTCAGCAGATGGCTTATTCCGAAGGATCTGGGTATGTACTTTTTCTCGTTTCAAGCAAGCTTAGAGAACAAAATCACATTCTTTGCCTTACCGAAAAAATTTTCAATTGGTCATTAATTGAATTGACAGCATCAATCCATTTTTTTTCTACTTTCTTTTCACAGAAACTGCATGCTAATTATAAAGCACTTCAGAAGAACTTTTGAAATTTTTGTTTTTTTGCACTTAACGTTTAAGTTAGTCCCTCCTTTGGGATTCCTAGACTGAAGGCGAAACGTTGGCTAGAAACAAGTTGCAACTTATTTGATCTTGTTTTCATTTTTTCCCATCTAGCCGTGAGCCAAGAGGAAGCGAAAGGATCGAGTGGGTACAGAGGGTTATTGTGTATTCCTACAGTTTGGATAATGTTGTTTGCATTGTTCAACTCGGCCATTACCACGTCATTCATCAATCCTGCAATGGCTGGACATTTGGAGTCTGTGAGTTTATTCTTCCAATATTGCTAGTTTTGAAGAGAAAAAAATTACAAGCTATTTTATGCGATCTCGGATGTGTGTAAATGAAATGAAATTTTAGTTCCATCTTAGTTCAACGGTTCTCGGATTGGTCTTCTTACTGAATGGAGCCTTTTATAGGTATTTTTTAAACATTTTCTGATTATACTCTAGTCTGAAAAGTTATTGCGTCAAATATCAATTTCACCTAAATATTTTTGACATCATCAATTAAATGTACGAGAACGTATTTCAGTATGACCGCACCTCTTAATGGTTTGCTCGTGGATCGGTACAATTTGCATCTCGGTGGAATGATGGTTGCTCCAATCGCTATAATTATATCGCAAG